AGACACTGACATTAGGTAATCAGAAATGATATAGACTCTACAAGTACTCCTACAAGCACTTCACCCCCAAGACTCCCCCCCAATACGGCTTCGTCTGGCATTGAAGTTTGGGACTAATTAAGATAAAAATGAGTTAAAAATTATAAAAATAAAAAATCAATCCAAACTAATATTTTAACCGTTAAAACAGTTAATTTTTTTTTAATTAAAATAGTCACATGCCAAACCATAGCTATATATACCTAAAATTGAATTTTTTTTTAATATAGATTAAAGTGTTTATGGATACTGGAAATAGACACTGACATTAGGTAATCAGAAATGATATAGACTCCCACAAGTACTCCATCGCCACGACTCCCACAAGCACTTCACCCCCAAGACCCCCCATATGGCTTCGTCTCGCGTTGAAGTTTGGGACTAATTAAGATAAAAATGAGTTAAAAATTATAAAAATAAAATATTATATTTAAATTATAATTTTTTTTTCTCTTCTAAGAATTAAAAAAATAAAAAAATCAATCCAAACTAATATTTTAACCAGAGTTAAAATAGTAAAAAAAAATTTAATTAAAATAGTCACATGTCAAACCATAGCTATATATACCTAAAATTGAATTTTTTTTTTAATATAGATTAAAGTGTTTATGGATGCTAGAAATAGACCCTGATATTAGGTAATCAGAAATGACATAGACTCCCACAAGGACTCCACCGCCACGACTCCTACAAGCACTTCACCCCCAAGGCCGCCCCCCATATGGCTTCGTCTGGCATTGAAGTTTGGGACTAATTAAGATAAAAATGAGTTAAAAATTATAAAAATAAAATATTATATTTTAATTATAATTTTTTTTTCTCTTCTAAGAACTAAAAAAATAAAAAAATCAATCCAAACTAATATTTTAACTAGAGTTAAAATAGTCAAAAAAAATTTAATTAGAATAGTCACATGCCAAACCATAGCTATATATACCTAAAATTGATTTTTTTTGTAATATAAATTGAAGTGTTTATGGATGCTGGAAATAGACACTGACATTAGTTAATTAGAAATGATATATAGACTCTCACAATAGAATTATCTTTAAAAAAACAGAAATGATACAGACCCCCACAAACACACAAACACCCCATATCCATGACCCCCCCGCACATGTGTCAGAGAGATAGGAAAAATAAAAATAAAAGTACACATGACCATTCACAATTATTTAAGGGTCATGGAGGTCTCCCAAAATAGAGGTCCCAAGTATTTTCCTTAGGTAATTTATTTTTTATTTTTGAGAAAAACGAAAAAATGATCGTTAACCCTATAGGGCTTGTTTGGTTTGTATCTGAAGATATAATTTTGAAAAAAAATTTCAAAATTTTGTTCAGTTCAAATTTTTTGAAAAATATTTTTAAAATCATTTTCTCTTTCCTACATATCAATCAATCACATTTTCTCTCTTCTCTCTCCTTTTCAATCACTTTTTTTTTTTCATGCACATCTACCTAACAACAAAAAAATATCAAATCATTCAAACTCCAAAATTATTTTCAAAATACACAACCAAACAAATCAAAAAAATTTCTAAACTCTCTCTCCAATTTTTTTTTTGTGAAAATTTATCTCAAAACACAAATCAAACACAACCACAATATTTAACATAAAACAAATTATACAAAACTTTTATTATGAAATAATGTTGTTGAATGTGTGTCTTTCATTTTACAAAACTTTCATTAGTAATAAGGGTCATTTTGACAAGCGGGCTAAAAACTAGATATTTTTTTGTTTTTTTGACTTTTTAAAATTATATTACTCTCTATTTTTTTATACATTTTCTTAAAAAAATTTAAAGAATATTTCAAAATTTATTGAAATCTGATGAACATTAGATGTTTTTTCATCCTATATTTTCAAATATTATTGAAATTTGATGAACATTAGATGTTTGAAATCCAATGTTTGTAACATGACTCTGATGTTATTAACATTGTATCTGATGTTATTAACATTGTAATGGGACCTTTCAGTCTATAAGAAAACTTTTAAGACTAAACAATGCATAAGTTATTAATTTGGGATTTATTGGTGCATCCCCCTAACTTTTAACCAAGTTACTAAAACATTCCTAAAATTACTTAATTACAAAATATGTCATCATCACATGATTCTAGTAAGAGTTTCGTTTCAGTTTTTCTTGTGAGATTAACATTTTTCTTCTAAATGACTTCAACTTGGAACTGCAAATTAACATTTTTTTTTGTTTGATAGATAAGTCATAAATTACATATCAAAAAGATATTATAATGAGGGAAAATTATTCAATAAAACTATACGTCCAGACCCAACACACCTTTCGAGGTGGGAAAAAATAAGCCTAATTTCTACGCAAAATTTAAAAACCAAAGCTAGGCAAGCAACTGCAAATTAACATGTATTGAATAAAGTAATAAATTGTATATATATAAAAAAAAAAACAACCAAACAAACAAAAGAAAGAAAGAAAGACAAAATCAGCAGTGAAACTAACATTATTTAATTTTTTCATTCTTCCTGGGTACTTGAACAACTTACAATAAAATGGTTTAATATGACAATAATGTTTTTTTGAAAGAGAATTATTATATATCACTAAATGATTTTATTTTGTAAGATCACATAACAAAAGACATTCTACTATTTAAGCATTCGTTTGGCATGTCAAAAAACTTGACTTTTTAGTTATTTTAATCATAAAAAGACAAAATATGTTAAAAAATTAATAAAACAAAATGTTACATTCAAACTATAATCATTTTATTTTTTTCTCACAAAATTCAAAAAAATATATCTCAAACAAAATTTTTTAGTCTCACATTAAAATAGTCAAAAAATTAAAAAGTCAACTCATATCTCAAACAAACTCTAAATATAACATATTATGTGTGGTGTGAATACACACATGAAGTGAACGAAACGTGTTAAATTTATCCTTGTAAAATGTTCATTTTTTTTAAATAATGAGGAAGTTTTTCATAATAAGGTGTCGTTTGGGAAGTGGGTTGGCTTTTTGATTTTTTAGTTTTTTTAGTTATTTTTGTCTGGGCTAAAAAGCTTGGATTGTGAAGGGCTTTTTGACTTTTTGACCTTTTTGAATTTTTTGTGAGAGAAGAGTGTAATGATTATGGGTTGGATGTGATGTTTTGTTTGTTGTGACTAAAATAGCCACAAACAGTAGCGGAGCCAAGAAAATAAATCAGATGGGACACTTCTTATTTACAACGTTGAAAATATTTATAAAAATATTTCACATAAATTTTTACGATTGACTTCAAGAAAGATTAAAAAAAAAAATATCAGTGTGTTTGGTTTGAGTTTTTTGAATTAAGTTTTTTATTTTTTATTTTATTTTATTTTTAGTGAAAAAATAATATTTGTGAAAAAATAATATTTGTGAAAAAATATTTTAAAAATTGATAAATACATAAAAATACAAAAAATGTATTATTTTTTATATATTTTTGGTATTTAGTGAATTTTTTAAAGATTTTTTCACAAAAATTATATTTTTTAAGTATATTTATGTTAGATGTGTCTAAAAATTAAAAAAATAATTGCTTAAAATATTAAAAAAATTCAATAAAAACAAGAACATAGAATTTTTTAAAAAGTGTTTTTAGAAAACTCAAATCAAACAAAATAAATATGTTATTTGTAATTAGTGTATCACGGACAACATTAAAAAAAGTCATGGATATAAAGTTTTAAAATAAATTATATAATGGTAAAATAATTTTTTATACAAAATATGCGTAAATATTTAATATAATAGTCATACCACGCAATCATTAACATGTGACATTACCAACCAATAATAAAGAAACACATAGCGGATGAACCATGCATATTAAATGTAACTAACAAATTTAATAAATTCTATATTTTCATTGAGATTAATTATGTTTGCATATCAATAATGATAGAGATCACTATTATATTGAATTTTTTATAGATAATAATATCATAGTCTCTTTATTTTCAATCAAAACAATTATTATTGTTCTTAAAATTTTTAAAATATCATTGAGATTTCACTCTAAATAATATTTTTATAAATTTTTTTTATATAAAATATTTTCTTTATGTTTGTTAAAATAATAATAAAAAAAAATTCCAAAACTTAGAGGGGCCACGTGACCCCAGGCTCTCCGTCCCTCCCCCTCGCCACAAACCATCTTCCCAAACCTAGCCTAAGCCACCAAATGAATCCAAAAGCAGCAAATAAAAATTACCAACCAAATTCATTTCAAATAGACTCACGTCAAGCAAGTATTAAAATTATATCATAAACTCGTTTTCTTTTAAAAAAAATATCTATTATAGAAATAATATTACACTTATTACTTTTTTATATCACTTTTAATATATCAGCTCATGTGTTAATGTCATTTGAGATAAATATGAGTGATGAGACTCACTACATCAAAGATAAGTTAAGACACGAGGTGATATGTTAAAAATGATATAAAAAAGTGGTAAAGTGTAGCATTATTGCTAGTATAATTATGATAGAATCTTAAATGATATTATCAGTTAGAGTAATGCGGGATTACGAAAAAAATTTTATGAAATGTTTTATGAATGTTTTTCATTTTTCGATTGGTGTGATGTTTTATTATATGTATAATCTAATATTGTGTTTGGTCGAGAGATTTGAAAATTTTTTGAAAAGACAGAATGAAAAAATAAGTGAAATAATATAATTATATTTCATTTAATTTCATACTTTTTTTTTTTCAATTTTTTTTTTAAATTTTCAAATCAAACACAACGTAAGAGTAAAGTGAAATATGAGAAAAAAAATCACTTTTTTATTGAGATTTAATGAAAATTTTGATAAATAGTTGAAAATGCTCTAATGAATCCAAAAAAAGTACTAGGGGCACAAAGTTACAACAGAGGCGGGAAAGGTGGGGATGGTTCGTCTGTTAGTGCCGTGAACTTACTTATAAATTGACTACTCTCCCTCTCTTCCTCTCCCATTCCCTTGTGACTTTGCCGAGCCCATTTACCACTTAAACTTTCTAGCGTCTAAAACTTCTCAGTATTAAACTTTCTAGCTTCCCAAACACCCCTTCTCTCAGTTTCTTCATATAAACTTCAAAGCTCCACATTTTTCAAATACAGAGCCCTCTGTCTCTCCTCAATCACCTTTCCATCTCTCTCTCTCTCTCCCTCTCTCTCTCTCTCACCTTCCAAAACCTTCAGGTACTATAAATCTTAAAACCCATTCAAATTCCTCTAATGGGTTTGTTTTAGTTTCAATTTTTATTGACAATTTCGTAACTTGCAGGAACGACCAAATGACTAACCAGAATGTGGTGGTTTCCGATGCCAAATCAGGCATTGGCTTAGCTCTGTTCTCGTCGGCCGTGGCGAAGCCGCCGCCGGCGGCTGCACAAGGCGGCGGCTTTGTCGCCATTCCAAGAAAAAAGCCCTTGAAGAAGCTCGAAACTGGCAGCGGAGCCGCCAGAATAAGCGCCTGGGTTGACTCAATGAGAGCTTCTTCTCCGACTCGCAAACCTCTCTCCGAATCCGAAGATCAAATCAAAAGCTCTTGGATTGTAAGTGTTAATTCTCGTTCACAATTTTCTTTTGTGTTTCCATCGGAATCTCTCTGTTTTTGTCTAATCTATTTCCCTGAATTTTCTTGGAGAAGCAGCTTCATCATCCATCTGCTTTAACCATGTTCGAGCAGATTATAAATGCTTCGAGCGGGAAACAAATAGTGATGTTTCTTGATTACGACGGTACTCTGTCGCCGATTGTCGAAGACCCAGATCGAGCTTTCATGACCAAAGAGGTTCGTTTTCTGTTTGGTTCAACTTTCTCTGTTATTTTCTTGATAGAAAATTCTCAGGAAAATTTCATATCCTCTATTTTGTGATTATGAATCAGATGAGAAAGGCTGTAAGTGATGTTGCACGCAAAGTACTTCCCTACAGCCATAGTTACCGGGAGGTGCAGAGCCAAGGTACATTTTAATCAATTCTGTATTCGTAGAATGTTTTTTCTTTATTTTTTATTTTTTATTTTGATATTGTGTTTTTCAGAGATTTTAAAGGCTTCATTATATTGATTTAATAAATATTTATGTGGTTTAAATATTGCAGGTTTATAACTTTGTAAAATTATCACAGCTTTACTATGCTGGGAGTCATGGCATGGACATCAAGGGACCAGCTAAAGACAGCAATAACAGAGAAGTGAATGCTAATGCTAATCTTAATGTATGTACTGATTTAATCAAAATTATTATTTTTTAATTTAGTATATTTTTTTTTCTCAATATTCTTAGTTTGTATTCTTATGTTAATTTTTGGGTTTTATTCAGGACAATCAAGGGCTCTCTTTCCAGCCTGCCAGAGAATTTTTACCCATGATTGACAAGGTTTGTTCTCTCTCTCGCTCTCAAGAAAATTGAAATGCAATATATAGGGTAATGATTGGTGGCCACAAATTTTATGGCTCAAATGGTCCGAAAATGTCAAAACGACGTCGTTTTGGGTACAAAACAACTCCGAAAATGCCAAAACGACGTTGTGTTGATATTTTCGAGCCATTTGAGTCACAGAATTTGTGGCCACCAAATATTTTCCCAATATATATATATATATATATGCATAGCATGGATGTTGATGTTGGGAATTGTTTTTTCAGGTGTACAAAGTTTTGTTAGAGAAAATCAAATCCACCCCTGGGGCTAAGGTGGAAAACAACAAATTTTGTTTATCAGTACACTATCGCTGCGTTGATGAAAAAGTAAAAATCCAAAGCATAGTTTTTTTCATTTCTTATAATTTTTCAATTTGTTAATGTTACTAATTAGCTTTTTCCTAATTTCCTTTTTAATCAGAGTTGGAATGCATTAGCAGAGCAAGTTAAGTCAGTGCTTAACGACTACCCAAAGCTTAAATTGACTCAAGGAAGGAAGGTGGGATACACATTCATTTCTTTATCATTTGATCGTTCTTGTGATTGTTGAAAAATTTTGTTCATTATTTGAATCCTCAATGATCGTATAAAACTTACAATTTCTTATTAAAAACAGGTTTTAGAAATCCGACCAACCATCAAATGGGACAAGGGAAAGGCCCTTGAATTCTTGTTAGAGTCACTCGGTGAGTTTTCTTCACCAATTGTGTGCATCCAACAACACTCTCTTCTTAATTTTTTTGATAATTAAATATAAGTTTAACATGTTCTAATTATGTGTGTTCTATGTTTTTTGTTCAAAACTAGGTTATGCGAATTCCGATGATGTTTTTCCGGTATACATCGGCGATGATAGAACCGACGAGGATGCATTTAAGGTAAATGTTCTTATTATTTTCATGTTTCCTTTGATGAATTAGTTTCACATTAGGACTCATTTTAATATGTGTAAATGTATAATAATTAGGTGTTGCGCGATAGAGGACAAGGGTTTGGAATACTTGTGTCGAAAGGTCCAAAGGAGACTAATGCCTCTTATTCTTTGCAAGAGCCTTCTGAGGCAAGTACCATGCAATTTCTTCCCTATAATTTTTTATTTTACCTTGACCTACTTTTTTTCTTCCAATTTTCTATGCTAGATTATTGATTATTATTTTTGAATTTTTTTAGGTTATGCATTTTTTGCGACGTTTGGTGGAATGGAAAAAATCACTGCTACATGGACATTAGAAGCGTGTAGATGACAAGAGAAATTGATCTCATCCCTTCATTTTTAATTTTTTTTTTCTTTTTTGGTCTTAAATTCCAACCCTAAAAAATTTGGTAGGGGTTCGTTGATATTATGTAATTTTCTTGTTTAGATCAAAATTGATAGAGAACGGGAGAAGGAAAATTTGTAATGTCGAAAAAATTCAAGTAAAATAATTTTAAAAACTATTTGAGTACTTTCTCTCTTCTCATTTGAGTGAAATGTTTAAAGCCGCAACCTGAATCAAGTGTGAACATGGCTAATGCAGGCTTCTGTTAATTTGCAAAATATTAATTTTTATGCAAGTATGTGACTGCGTAATGTTAAACAACAGAATATTATACATGTTCACAATGTGTGGTTTAAAAAGATTTTAATGTGAGCATTAAAAAATAAGCTAGTTTTTCATAAATGTTACGAATATTACAAAGTAAGGTTCTTTAAACTTTAGTGCAACTTGAGAGGCAACTACAAAAGAATCACATGGCATTTTAGGTTTTTTGAAGATCAATGGAGGGAAAGCTAAAAGAAACTGTATATGGTAAACACAAGAAAAATGATATTTGATGGAAAGTCAGACTGAATGAAGTCTCGTTTGGTAATTTTTAATTTTAATTAAAAAGTCATTACAAATTACATGTTCTCTTTATTTTTTGTATATTTTTATGGAAAAAGTCAAAAAATTATTAAAATAATTTGTTTTCAAACGAGATATAAGTCCTCATTATTGATATTAACTAAGGGTGTAAATTTGACCCGTCCCCAACCCGGCCCATTCGGGCCTCCCGGGCGCTCGCCAAAATTCGGTCAAGGTCGGGTCGGCCCACGGACTAAAAAAATTAAGCCAAAGCCCATAGGTATTCGGTCATTGGGTCGGCCCAATGGGCTCAGGCTTGGCCTCGGGCCAGGCTTAGAGGGGCCTAACCATTTTTTTTTTATATAAATTTTTTCTATCAAAATTTTATTATTTTTCATTAAAAAATATGCTGGGTCTCGGGCAGACCAGGCCCTAAGTAGGCCTTAAGCGGGCCAATGGGTTGGGCCATGGGCTGAGCCGGGCTTCAAAACAGTGGCCCAGGCCCTAGCCCAGGGACTCGGATAGGGATTGGGCCTCGGCCCAAGCGAGCCTAAACGAGCTGAGCCCATCTTGAGCCGCAGGCGAGTTTCGGGCTGCGGGCCATTTTTACACCCCTAATATTAATAAGTAATGATAGGATGATTAAACTTTTAGTCATCACAATATTGTCATTCATGTATTGATATAATGTGGGTGAAATCCACTAAATCAACATGGTATAAGAGAATCAGTCTCTCTACAATAGCTTTGAAGCTATTGTAGAGAGCAAAAGCTATAAATATCAGCTCCATCAGACTCTCTGAATCTTCATTCATTTTGTGAATGCTACAATGCCTCAATTGATTTGTTGAGGCACCATTCATACGATAAACTATATTTTTATTATATCTTCTGGAGCAAAGCTGGGCCAAAATGTCATGACCAATCGTCCACCCGGATGTCCCCCCGGATGTCCTCTTGGATGTCCTGTGAGTGCCCTGTAACAAAGAAGGAAAAATGCTCAAATTTGACCTGACCAGTCGACCGGCCGATCGACTGCCCCTCAGTGGGTTCGGCCCTCCTGTGTTGCTGCTGCTCTGCTATTGTTTAGGTGTTCATCTATTGTTGTCTTGGGGCTTATTTATACTTGTTTGTTCATAACATTTGAATGAAATAGAATTTTAGAATAGAGAGTTTGATAGAGTGTGCATAAAAAAAGAGGCTAACCAAAATATAAAAATGAGTTTTACATTATAACTTGGCTCAAAATTTATTGAGATTGATGTTCATCGCAACATTGCTCTTGTACCAAAAATCAGCCCCTGACATCACAAATTAGCATATAATTGTCTTTGAAGATTACCTAAATTTTTTGAAACAATTGTAAGTTAACCGGCTGTGAAATTATCCTTTATTCTTGTATGTTTCCGTTATGGAACAAAGCATGATGTACACGTTTCGATTCTACAACTTGACCTTTTGGTAGTGGTAGGGGTGTCCGCGGTTCGGTTTGGGACGATTTACGGTTCGATTTAGACCCACCCATATGTATGCGGTTTGAGGAAAAGTCAACCCGCAACCGCCCACAATGCGGTTTGCGGATTGAACTTTTTTTCAAATTTTTTTTGTTAAATCCTTTTTTTTTCCCCATTTTTTATCAATATTTCTTTTAGACCTTTTTCCTCCAATTTTCTAAAATACTCTAACATTAATAATTAATGAATTAAAACTTATAAAAAACTTATAAAATAAAAAACACAACAAAATCAATTTGTAACCTAAACAAATCATTCAAAATTTACCTTCATCATTAACTTGCATTCATCTCAATTCGCAACCTAAACAAATCATTCAAAATCTACATTCATCATTGACTTGCATTTATCCTACATTCATCATTTCTAACCCAAATATATATATAAAAAAAAAGTAATTCTTCATTAACTTACATTCATCCAAAATGCAAAAAAATAAATAAAAATGAAAGGGATTTTTTTGAACGATCAGATTTAAAAAAAAAAAAAAAAAAGTTTTATGCGGGCGGGTTGGGCGGGTGCGGGTCAAACCCCGCAATCCGCCTGCAATCCCAAAATTAAATAAAATCCAAACCGCACCTTACCCTAATGTGTTTGCGAAACCGCCCATACATGCGCGGTTCGAATTGGGTAGGACGGTTTGGACGGATCGGATGACCCTATACCCAGCCCATGTTACCAAGTGAAAATGAAGTACACATTTCAATTCCTAAATTCGAACATAATTACAATTTTAAGAGGATTGCTTTACAGCATTAGGGTCCTCAATCTAGACTACATGGCAGAAAGGAGGAGTGAGAGAAAAAAATCCACAAACCTTTATTTATTTTTGCATTCTTAAGGCCTATATATTTGAAATTGATGACTTCTCTCCAGTATAAATTGTATCAGGTAGTTACATTTAAAAGACTCATTACATATCTCAGTCTAGTGATCTAAAACATTTATTTCATGGACCATTATTGTAAAACTTCAAATTGCAATTATACTTACTGAACTAACATAATTTTTTTGTAATAAATATTATGCATAGAGACCAACAAAACGAATGATTTAAATTATCCACATAAAAGCCTAATGTATCTCATATAGGGGTGTGCATAATACCGCCGAAACCGTCGAAACCGTCAAAACCGCACCGAACCGCACCGCCAAGGCAAATTCGTTATTATTTGTCAATCGAACCGCCGGTTTTTGGTAAGAAAAATGGCAAATTCTAGTGACACTTTTATCAATCCGCCGGTTTCTATTTTTCTTCCAAACCGCACCGACCCGCACCGCTATTAAATCATGTTTTATAGGATTCTAAAAATTCTTTTTTACTTAAGTTTGCTTGTTGTTCTATACCTTAGAATATAGTATTACATTACTGCTCGAGGGGAATTTTATGTATTGTATTTGATCATTGCAGCTTCCACAGATACTTGTAATGAACTGATGGCATAGTCGTTGATATTATCATGTTGTTGCTACACTTGCTGCATCAGAAGAAAGTTGCTGCTGCTCTGCTATTGTTTAGGTGTTGATCTATTGCTGTCTTGGGGCTTATTTATACTTGTTTGTTCATAATATTTTAATGAAATAGAATTTTAGAATAGAGAGTTTCATAGAGTGTGTATAAAAAAAGAGGCTAACCAAAATATAAAAGTGAATTTTAGATTATAATTTGGCTCAAAATTTGTTAAGATTGATGCGAATACTCTAATAAATGAATTTGATATAAAAGTTTGTTCATCACAACATTGCTCTTGTACCAAAAATCGGCCCCTGACATCACGAATTAGCATATAATTGTCTTCGAAGATTACCTAAAATTTTTGAAACAATTGGAAGTTAACCGGCTATGAAATTATCCTTTATTCTTGTATGTTTCCGTTATGGAACAAAGCATGATGTACACGTTTCGATTCTACAACTTGGCCTTTTGGTAGTGGGGTGTCTGCGGTTCGGTTTGGGACGGTTTGCGGTTCGGTTTGGATTCGCCCGCATGTATGCGGTTTGAGAAAAAGTCAACCCGCAACAGCCCGCAATGCGGTTTGCGGTTTGTGCGGATAGGGTTCGCGGTTGTGCGGGCGGTTGCGGGAGGTTTGCAATTTGAACTTTTTTTCAAAATTTTTTTGTTAAACCCTTTTTTTTTTCCCCCATTTTTTATCAATATTTCTTTTAGACCTTTTTCCTCTCATTTTCTAAAATACTCTAACATTAATAATTAATGAATTAAAACTTATTAAAAAATTTATAAAATAAAAAACACAACAAAATCAATTCGTAACCTAAACAAATCATTCAAAATTTACCTTCATCATTAACTTGCATTCATCTCAATTCGTAATTTAAACAAATCATTCAAAATCTACATTCATCATTAACTTGTATTCATCGTACATTCATCATTTCTAACCCAAATACCAAAAAAAAAAAAAAAAAGAAAAAAAAAAAAAAAAAATTAAAAAAAAAAAAAAAAAAAAAAAAAAGATCAAAGATTTGTAATGTAATAAAAGGGGTTTTTTTGAAGGGTCAGATTTAAAAAAAAAAAAAAGAAGTTTTATGCGGGAGGGTTGGGCGGGTGCGGGTCAAACCCGCAATCCGAAAATTAGATAAAATCCAAACCGCACCTTATGTTAATGTGTTTACGAAACCGCCCATACATGCACGGTTCGGATCGGGTAGGACGGTTTGGACGGGTCGGATGACTTTATGCCCAGCCTATGTTACCAAGTGAAAATGAAGTACACATTTCAATTCCTAAATTCGAACATAATTACAATTTTAAGAGGATTGCTTTACAGCATTAGGGTCCTCAATCTAGACTACATGGCAGAAAGGAGGAGTGAGAGAAAAAAATCCACAAACCTTTAATTATTTTTGCATTCTTAAGGCCTATATATTTGAAATTGATGACTTCTTTCTAGTGTAAATTGTATCAGGTAGTGACATTTATAAGACTCATTACAGATCTCAGTCTAGTGATCTAAAACATTTATTTCATGGACCATTATGTAAATCATTTACAACATCTTCAAATTGCAATTATACTTACTGAACTAATATAATTTTTTTGTAATAAATATTATGCATAGAGGCCAACAAAAAGAATGATTTAAA